CAGGAGACAGTCTGCGTCGCTGCGGGTGGAGAGAGACCTTGGGACTGAGCGCAGGCCCAGCGAGGGGTCTCAGCACCGGACTTCTTGACAGGTAACAGGATTGCGAAAGAACCAGGGCGAGGGCGGCGCCTTCTCCCTCGCCTTGCGTCAGTTTAAGGTTTTTGGAGCGAGGAAGAAGGTGACGTGTATAATTTATAGCTCCATTTTGGGCCTGGGGGAGGACAAGTGTTTATCTTTCCTTCTCAATGCAAGTTTTGATTTGGTTTGGGTTTTGTTGTCTACACTTTTTTATATTTCTTTTGGTTGATGTCGTGTTTCTTCCCTTTGTTACAACCTAATTTCTTCAGTTTCTTTAGATATTTTGTAGCTATTACACAACCAAACTTTACATCTGTATATTTATAATTCTTCAAACAGTAAATGTTGACTCTACCTGAAATGGATTTTTCTGTCAAATGTTATCACCAAGCTAACTACTTCCACGAATAATTTACTCGGGAGATTCTGTTCTGATACTGATTCCTGAACTAAGTTCTGGGATTTGTATTTCTCTTGAATATTCCATAAAGCCCAAGACTATGGTAGGCACATGATAGACTTTCAATATATTCTTGATAATCTATCACTTTTCAATGCAGGGAGAAACCAGTGTCCTCATTCCTCTTGTGACCTGATCAACGACCTCCACTCTCACCTCCACCCACCAAACATGCCCTCATCCCCTTCTCATGGACCTTGCATTGTCGTCCTAACTAGCAACTCCAGTTTCTCTCCATAATAGTCTAGGAAACCCCTTCTCCCCTGAAACTCCTGAGACTCATCCTTAGTATCACTTACAAATGTCAAGGCTTGGGCATCTGGCTTCAGCCTGCACTTCAGATTCTGCATGTCCATCCTTTGTGACCAACCCAAGTGTTTTCATTCTTTCCTATATTCTTATCAGAAACAGCATACTGTAATGGAAAGATGCCATTTTTAACAACCATATTATGAAAAATAGCAAACTTAGAAATTGCATCAAACATCTAGTCAGTATATAAATTTCAAGATGTCTCCTGTTCTTAATATTTTTGTTTAGTTTGTTTGAATCATGACCTATACAAGCTCCACACACTGTAATTGGTTAATATAATTTAAGTAATCCATAGATTCCCCCTTCTTTAAGGCCCTTCTTCTAGGTAGTGAAATGGTGGACTCACCAGTGATATTTCATTTAAAGTTGTGGAATTCTTCTGTATTTTTCATGCCTTTAAAGCTTGGAATCAGGACGTGAAAAAGAGCATACAAATAGGAGTCTCTTAAGTTATTCTTTCAGGGATATCCTTGATGTACTACATAAAACATAAACACACTCTTACACATGTATATACAATGGATTTGCCGAGAGAAGCTAGGTTAAACTCTACATTTCAGGCAAAGAGAAGGCTGTGCTAACCTTCAGGCCATTCTTAAATCAGTTTTCCTCCTCAATATATACTTTTCTGTCTTCTCATTTTATATGTTCTCTCTAGACCTAAAACTGACCTTTTATGCTGTTACTCTTTAATAGTTTTCTATCAATGCTCTAATGCCAAAGGCTGGCTAACCACTCATCAAAGATGCTGTAGAAGAGGTCTGGAATTAGGTGGAAGGTGGGCTCAGAGTTGACCTCACTGTTGGTGAAGAGTCAGTTGATGGTAGTTTAAGAAACTATTGAACACTGATTTTATGCCTGCCCCCCAGCCTAACATGTCTAAAACCATAAGTTCACTATGGCAATAATGTAGGCACCTACATTACACTGCCCAACAACAAGTGCTGTCTCAGGTACCAGACTGAGAATAGCCCAACTTGGCAAAGAAGTCCAGTATAATTAGGCTATCTCAATTTTTTATTCTCTGTGTGGGTGTTCAACATTCTCAGTGCTAACTTCTAACCTTTTATTGTTTAAACATAGAAACTATGGATTAAATGGGTCTCAGGAGTTTCATTCCCCCTTAAGAAAGGATCTATGCCTAGCAAAGTGTTTCTTGCAGTCTAAGATTTTTCTTTAAGTTATTTTTTACTACATATTTTTTACTACATATCAATCAAGTGAGCTTTTATCTGGACTCACAAACATAAGACACTTATTAAGTGAACCCAAGTTTTGTGGAAAATCTGGTCCTTGAATCAGGAAATAAGTTATGCTATTTACCATTTATTTTAAGAATAGTAGTTGGGTTCTAGGAAGAAACCTGATTACCTAGTAATGCTTCTAATTAGCTTTCATTCTAGTACCAAAAAATAAAAATTAGTAACTTACTAAGTTCGACAGTAGTAATTTGAAAAAATACCTTTTGTTTCATATGTAAATGTTGTTAAAGGAATTTGTACATTAAAAGTGAATAAACATGTTTTTTGCCTTTTTGCCTGATATAGTACATAGAGAAGCATCTTGGCAGACATGTCACTGGAGATCCCTGCAAATAGTGTGCCCGTGGTTCTCCAGCTCTGAGCTCTGCTAGCAGCTCTACCAGCAAAGTATTTCGTCTCAGGGTTACAACAGTGACTCTGCTCAATCTTCAAGGAGTAAAAAGGTTGTACTGTGTTATAATTGTCTTTTATTTTCTTTCATTATGAAAAAAAGCTACTGTCCTTCAGAGAAGAGCTTTTTATCATTTAAGATAATATTTTGGGATTGTGGGAGCAGAAAATAATGATCAATTTAGTGGCTTTTGGCAAAAGATCTAAAATAACATGTACAAATTTTATTTATGTTAAAAAATAGAAATAGAAATCCCCTAACACAATGATATAATCATCCAAAAAAAAAAAAAAGAAATCCAAGAGTAGTATGCATTATCCTTTTGTAGTGGAAGCTCTGTAATTAAACTTTCCCTCCTTATCTTTTTCTTGGGGGGTGGGGAAGGGAGGGTGGCTTAATAAATTGTAACTCTGCATCTACTTATTGAGAGTAGTACAGTATGTTTCAACAGTATTTGAGTGATCTGAATACTTAAAAATTGTCATTCGCTTTAAGAACAAACAGGAACTCTTCTTAAAATCTTCTTAAAAACTAGCTCAAGTACTGATGGGCAAATGGAAGCTCAAAACAATTGGGAAGAAAAATAAAGGTCACTCAGTAACCTTAGAAGACAAACTTATTTCTGAAAGACAAAGAACCCTGCTTACTTTGCAGTATTGAGCTAGTAAAATATTTGATATTTAAAAATAATTTTGTATTTTCTTTGATTGTTCAACTGAGTTAATTATGCTTCCTTCACTTCCTACTCCAAAGGGAATGTAATACCTTAGGCTTTTTGTGATTGATTTAGCATAAACTAAGAAAAATTTTCTTTTGATGCTATTTGCTTGGGCTAGAGTTGACATATTTGAGTCATACTAATTCTTTAAAAATGGAATTACAATAGATATGATTGATTCAATAAAAGGAAAAAGCATACATTTTTATATGAGCTACAACTTCGTTATTGCTATCAAGTACAAATGTGATTTTTCTAAAATAGACTTTGAAAGTAAAATTAATGCTAATGAAAACACATTCAGTTTAAGCATCTGACAGCCAGCTTTTCCTCTTCCTTAGCCTATTAGCCAGATACTGGGAAAAGAAATGTTTAAGACATTCGAGGAGTTCATAGTCTTGTTTGCAGAGACAGATAGAAAATAATTAGGATGTGTTAAATGTGATCAGTGTACAACTGATGTATGTATGAAATATTGGAACTATTTACCTGTTTTTGACTCATGGCCCAAAATTGTTCATAGAAGGGAAGGAGCAGAGGATAAGTGATAGAATCTCTATATGTAAAAATACACACACACACACACACACACACACACACACAGCCACCAGATGGTAAGTAACATGGAACTTAAGAGAATTTTTAAAAAAATTCAGAGATCACTAACTTTTTTCACGATTATTTAGATTCGCACTTTCTCCTGACACCTGGGCTTTTCATCTCTTATTGTGGAAACTAATTTCAGTTTTTGGTTCACTGTTGTCTCTTACTAATTGTACTGAGCATATGAAACCCTGATTAATCTTAAGCCCCTGTGTAGCAATAATATATAGATTTTGCTTAATCTTTTTATTTGTTTGTTTTTACCATTTTAATAGAACCAACTTACATTTGAAGTCCAAAGCCAGCATTTATTCATTTTGAGGTAGGATTGGTGATCATCCACAAGTGACATGGCTACTGGGAGTAACTACTGGTTGAGATGTTGAAGCCAGAGCTCCAGATGAGTGGCTGAAATAGAAATATCCTCCCGATAAACAAATTATAAAATGGTATTATTCTTTTAATAATATGGCAGAAATAATCCTTCTTGAAAATTATGACCTTGCCCTGAGAGCAGTGTTTGACTTGGATTAGCCACTGTGAATTCTAGTCTTATAACTGAACTTGTTAAAGTAATTTAGGCCACATTAGATCATGAGTAGAAACTATTTGGCTGCAAGTACAATATGCATAAAAAATAGTAAATGTTTATGTTACTTAAACTACAGTTGACCCTTGAACGATGCGGGGGCTAGGGGTGCTAATTCCCACCACACAGTGAAAATCTGCATATAACTTTTGACTCCCCTCAAACAGTTGTCCCTCAGCATCTGCTGGGGATTGGTTCTAAGAACCCCAACGATGCTCAGGTCCCCTGTATAAAACAGGACAAATCAATGCATACAGTTGGCCCTTGACATCCCAGCCACTGATCAAAAACAGTATAGGTATTTATTGAAAATAAATCTGCATGTTAAGTGGACCTGTGAAATTCAAATCTGTGTTATTCAAGGGTCAACTGTAATGTGTGCAGTGTTTTTTTTTTTCTGGAATGAATAATAAAGCATTTTCCTCCCATCTAATTTTGTAATGTAGACAGTATATATTAACTTCCACTTTTGACCTCATAAATCACATTTTTATTTTTTTAAGCCAGTGAGAAGAATTCTTCATGATTAGACTCATCAACAAGTTTGACAGAATTGGGATATCCTCAACCTACGTTCCTGAGGAGGACATAACAATAATTATGGGATATGAGGTACAGCATCTTAAGTTACAAATTATTTTTCCAGATCTTATTTATTTATAATGAACTCACATTACCTGTCAAATAAGAATACTAATAAAAGTCAGGTAAATTGCTATTACAAAAAAATGTAATTTAGCATGTAACTGAATAGAATCTTAAATTTTATCAGTAATACCCAGAAACTTTATTTTAACATTATTTCCTTTTAAAAAAGAACTTAGAATATAGTGGGTCTGTTTCAAATATCTTTGTTAGGTATTTTTTCTTGCAGAAAACAGCAATTATAATTTGCTGCCTTCTGGAAAAATTTTTTAAAAGGAGGTTCAGAAGAAAGGAATTTTGTCAAGATTAATAAGTTCAGGATAGGTTTATTGTAACAGGCTTTGTGGCATAGGTCCCCTAAGCAATTTATTGTGAGAATCCAGTGTATGCTATGTGTCAGAAATTAAATTGCCATCGACTGTCAATGAAATTTGGTATACCCTTAGTCTTAAGTACACAGGTTATCATATGTAAACCAGTCCAATCTTTGAAGAATTTTTTTTTAGTTGCTGTATAGAATTGTAGGACTGTCCATTTTACAGGATTTTTTTAAGCAACATCTTTAAAAATTTCTAAAAATTCTAAAACGTGTTTACTAAGAAAGTAAAAATTTAGGTGTTTTATGCTAAGTTGAAAACTTTATCAAATATGATGGAACCAAAAATATAATTAAGCCATAGCTAAGAAAAATCTACCTACATGAATAAATCTTTATTGAGTATGAATAATTTTTTTCTCGATGTACAGCCCCAATTGCACTTTTCTACCCAATTGGATAAATAAAAGCTAAGCTATAATTTAAGGTTTTTTTCAAAATAAAAATTCAGCGTATCTCAAGCTGGTTTTCTGATGTCATCTTAACATTTGATTTGGAAAAGCCAACTTTTAATTAGGTTGACAATAATCAAAGAATGCAGCGGCTACAATGGCTACCATTTACTGCTATGTGCTAGGCATTATTTTATGTTCTTATATCTATCAACTTTAATCTAATAGTAGCATTGCAAGGTAATTATTATTAGCTTCATTTCATTGGTGAGGAAAGAAGCTTAAAGAGATTAAAGTGCCTTGCCAAGTTTACATAGCTGGTAAAGTTGCTCAACAGATATTTGAGAGCCTACTCTGTGTTGGCCCTGACACTGTGCTGGTTCTGAGACTGTAACAAGAAAGACAAGATCTCCATTCTAAAGGAGCTTACAATCTATTAGTAAAGTCCAGATTTGAACATAATGGTGTTGGATTCTAAAACTTTTCTTCTTGGTTTCCACACTCCCTTTTGCCAAGGACACTACAGAAGAGATGGATAAAATTGTTCCAGTGACACTTAAGAAAGTAGGGGGATGGAAACTACATATTGGAGTATTACAGGAAAGAAATATTGGTATATGAGTATCAAGATATGTCAAAGGAAAAACCCTAGGATCTAAATATATGGTAGAAAATAGAAAGCTTATGCTGTTTAACAGACTTGCTTTACAATCACCTGTAGATAACATGTAATACAATAGCAATGTACTTGCTGTTACATCAATAGCTATAAGGATCAGTATTGTTTCAGTGTAATTACCCTGCACTGTCTAACATGGTAGCCATTAGCCACGTAAGGCTTTCAAGTACTTGAAATGTGGCTAGTAACACCAAAAAACTGAAATTTTTTTAAAATTTGCGTTTAAAAACAAATACTTGATCCAGTAACTATATCTTTTAAGCATGTTTGGGACTTGAGTGTGTGACTGTTATTTCAACTAAATTTTAGAAAACTTAAATACAGATAAAGTATTTTTGATGAAAATTTAACGAGTTGAGATGTGCTATAATATAAAATATACACTGATTTTTAAGATTTAGTATAAAAAAGAATATAAAATACCCATTAATTATTTAAAAAATATTGATTACATGGTGAAATGATACTTTGGATATACTAGGTTAAATAAAATATTAAACAGTTTCATTTGTTTCTTTTTTTAGTTTTTACTTTTTACTTCTTTAAAATATGTCTACTAGGAGATTTTAAATTACCTGTGTGGCTTGAGTTGTATTTGTATTGGAGAGGGCTGGTATAATCAAGCCCTGGTGAGGAGGGTCTGGTCCATGAGTTGTCTTTTATTTTTGGCTTCAAAATAGTATCCTAGTATATCTCATTATCCTTTTATCAGAAGTTATATGTTGCTCTTCATTCTTTCTGTTAATGTTATTAAGTATGCTAATAGCTGTGTTAATATTTCTTCCTGTAGTAGAAATATAAAAATTACTAACACATGCACTTAGATGAATTAAGTATACAAGTGTGCACATACCATATTTATTTCCAAAGAGTATTTCCCATAGTGAGTTTTTAAAAATAGAAAGTAGACATAAGTATTCTGTGGGACTATATTCAAGGACTGACAGATTGGGAGAAACATTTTATATATTATACAGTATATATACATATAGTAAACAAGTATAAAACTGACAAAAAAGATACAAACAATATATTTTGGTTAGAATTTCAGAGATGTTTTTTTTTCTTCTCTTTCCCCTTTACTTCAAAGTTTATAAAGACTTTTGAAGCAGCATGTATTGTTGCACTTTTGATTTTTTGTTGTACAGTTAAAGAACTTGAGAGTCTGGATGACTGGGGATCATCTATTTGTCCTTCCCATTCTTTCGTTTCTTCTTCTTTGATTAATAAAGGTTTTCCTAGAGTTTGGCCAACAAGGTTACAGACTTCTTGCGCTTTGCGCCATGCATTCTCAACAGCAACAAGACAGGCTTGCCGTCTTAGGAATTAAATGCAGAGATTATTAATGTGACATTCAATGAACTGTAATACTGAATAGTTTTAATTAATTGATAATTTAGTTAAAGATGTGCTTAACTCACCGAAGATTCTCAATGGAACCTGGAGTATGATAGAACTGGGGTTGGCTGATGACAACAGAGCTATCTAGCTTTTCAACGAGAAAGTTACAAATAGTTTGCATTTTTCCAAATTCAGTAAATGTAATGCAGACCTGTAAATGAAATGACACTTGAAATTATTTTCATCCCTGATGCATTATTTCAAAATTTCCTCTAAACGTGAGTAAAAAAGTAAATCCATAGTACAATGTAATTTTGTAGTATGTAACAGATATGAAAAGCCTACTTATAAGTAAATTATTTTGTTATTAAACTTTGCTTATGAATTTATAATTTATCCAACAGTAACTTGAGTATTTTAAAATATATTTTAAACCAATCAGAGACTTTTTTTAATGAAAGAGAATTGGAGAGTTTCTTCTTAAACTTTATTATTTGGCTAATTTCTAACGCTGATAAATTTTTCATGAGTTGTTAGCCAAATCTATGCCATTAGCTTTCTGATTAGTAGTAATTACACCATATTTCACTGCTCTTAGTGAAGTATGTTTCTTTTTCCAATAGTTATTTTCAGATCTATATATGGATACTCAGCTATTTCATTATGTCCTCTGCCCTTTAATATGTGGGATCAGTCCTTATACTCAGCAATACTTTAAAATTGTAGTCTTAAAACTTTTTATAGAAGACTAAACCTTTCTTCTAAGGAAACTTTATACAAGCTCAATATGTAAAACAAAAAAATACAGGTACTGGTGAGTAGGCTGGAATAGCAAAGAGAAAGCAAGGGGTGAGGTGACCTCCTGAGTCATCTTATACAATGCAGAACAGTTGCCTTTAATCATAAATGTTATCCAGTGAAGACTAATGTTCTGTCTGGTTTCAATGCTAAGTAAATAATGTATTTTATAATCAGTTTGTCAATTTCTATTTTTAAAAAAGCTGACAGATTTTGATTAGGATTGCAATAAATCTATATATAGATAATTAAGGAAGGACTGATATCTTAATGATACTGAGTTTTCCAAATCACCAACAAGGTATGTTTCTCCATTTATTTAGGTCTTCTTTAATTTCTCTTAGCAATAATTTGTAGTTTCCAGTGTACTCGTCTTTCAGATTTTTGAAATCAGATTTATCCCTAGGTATTTTATATTTTTGCTGCTTATTCTTAATAGTTTTCTTGTAGGTTCCATCAGATTTTCTACATAGATGGTCATGACTTTTACTTCTTACTTTCCAATCTAGATGCTTTTTATTTCTTTATCTTGCCTGACTATGCTAGCTAGAAAACTTCCAGTACAATGCTGAATAGAAGTTTGTCTTGTTCCTGATTTTAGGCACAAAGCATTTTTGTTTAACCATTAAATATGATATTAGCTGTAGATTTTCCATAGGTTCCCTTTATCAGTTTGAGGAAGTTCCATATTATTCTTAGTTTGCTGAGAATTTTTATCAGGACTAGGTGTTGGATTTTTATTTCTGCATCTACTGATATGATTACATGGTGTTTCTTCTTTATTAATGTAGTAAATTAGATTGGCCAATTTAAGAATGTTAAACCAATCTTTAATTCCTGGAATGAACCATACTTGGTCATTATGTATTATTCATTTTATATATAACTGGATTTCACTTGCTAAATTTTGTGTATAACTTTTGCACATATGTTTACAATGGATATTAGTCTGTAGTTTTCCTTGCTTGTAATTTGTTTTTCCTGATCCCAAATTATGAGTTGGGAAGTATTCCTTCCTTTTCATTTTCTGGAAAAGTTTGTATAGAATTGGCATTATTTCTCTCTTGCATTTATGTACTTTCTAATTTATCTTTCAATTTATCCTTTGACCCATGAGTTATTGAGAAGTATGCTATTTAAATTATAAATATTTGGGGGATTTTCCTGAGACCTTTCTGTTATTGGTTTCTAATTTAATCATACCTTTCTGTTATTGGTTTCTAATTTAATTTGAATCATATGATTCGAATACTTTTAAATTAATCAAGACTTGTGTTATGACCCAGAATATAGTCTATCTTGGCAAATGTTCTCTGTACACTTGCAAGGAATATATAGTTTGCTGTTGTTGGAATGAGCGTCAAGCATATCAAACTGGCTGATAGTGTTATTCAAATCTTTTATATTCTTACTGATTTGCTATCTGATTTCATTAATTATTAAGAAAGGAATATTGAAAGCTCCAACTAAAACTGTAGACTTATTTATTTCTTTTCAGTTCTATCATTTTTGTCTTAAGTATTTTGAAGCTTTGATTAAATGCATATGTATTTAGGATTGTTACGTTCTCTTGATTAGCCCCTTTATCACTATAAAATCATCTTCATCTGTGGTAATAGTATTTGCTTTGAAATCTACTTTGTCTGATAACTATCATAGCCACTCCAGCTTCCTTTTAATTCATGTTAGCATGGTATGTCTACCCATCTTATTATTTTTTTAAAATCAAGTTTATTAAGGTATAATCTTAAATGCAGTAAAGTATACTCTTTTTACTCTATGTCCTATGAAATTTGACAGGTGCATTAAGTCATGCAGCCACCATTATGATGAGGCCCATCAGTCTCCCCCATACCTCTGTGCTCCCCCATCCCAGTATTTTTTTTAACTTTATTTTTTAGAGCAGGTTTAGGCACATAGCAAAACAGAGAAGTGCAGAGATTTTCTATATGGTCCCTTTTTCCACACATGCATTGCCACCCCCACATCATAATCAACATTCGCCATCAGAATGGTACATTTATTGCAATATATGAACCTACAATGATACATCATAATGACTCAAAGTCCATAGTTTACATTAGGGTTCACTCTTGGTGTTTTATATTCAATGTGTTTAGACAAATGTATAATGACATGTGTCTATCATTATATCATTATAGTATCATAGAGTATTTTCACTGTCCTAAAATTCCTCTGTGTTCCCTTTATTCATATCACTCTCCCTGCTAAACCCTGGCAGGCACTGATCCTTTTACTCTCTCTATAGTTTTGCCTTTTCCAGAATATCATATAGTTGTAGTCATACATATGTAGCCTTTTCGGATTACATCTTTAACTTAGTGATAGGCATTTAAGGTTCCTCCCTGTTTTCATGGCTTTGTACCTCATTTCTATTTAGTGCTGAATAATATTCCATTTTCTGGATGTATCATTGTTTATCCACTCACCTACTGAAGGACATCTTGGTTGCTTCCAATTTAGCAATTATGAATATAGTTGCTATAAATATTCCTGTGTAGGTTTCTATGTGAACATTAACTTTCAACTCCTTTGGGTAAATACCAAGGAGCACGACTGCTGGATGATATAGTAGGTGTATGTTTAGTTTTATAAGAACCTTTATCTTCCAAAATAGTTGTACCATTTTGCTTTCCCACCAAGAATAAATGAAGAGTCCCTATTCTGCATGTTGTCAGTGTTTCAGATTTTGGTCATTCTAATAGGTGTGTAGTGAATTTGCAATTGCCTAGTAACATATGATGTGGAACATCTTTTTATATGCTTACTTGCCATCTATATATCTTCTTTAGTGAGGCATCTGTTAAGGTTGTGGCTCATTTGTATATAGAGTTATTTTCTAATTGTTGAGTTTTAAGAGTTCTTTCTATATTTTAGATAAGTCTGTGTTTTATGAATAAGTGTGTTTTATGAATATTTTCTCCAACTCTGTGGTTTGTCTTATCATTCTATTGACATTGACATTGTCTTTCACAGAGCGGCTTTTAATTTTAATGAAGTCTGGCTTGTCAACGATTTCTTTCATGAACCATGCCATTCTGTATCTAAAAAGTCACTGTGACACTCAAGATCACCTAGGTTTTCTCCTGTGTTATCTTCTAGGAGTTGTATAGTTTTGTGTTTTACCATTAGCTCTACGATGCATTTCGAGTTAATTTTTTGAAGGATGTAAGGTCTGTATCTAGATTCATTTATTTTTGCATATAGATTTATAGTTGTTCCAGCACCAGTTGAAAAGACTATCTTTGCCCCATTGTACTGCAGCTTTCTCAAAGATCAGTTGACTATATGGGAGTCTACTTCTTAGCTCTCTATTCTTTTCCTGTGATCTATTTTTCTGTTATTCAAACAATACTACACAGTCTTTTTTTTTGTAGCTTTATAAGTCTTGAAGTCAGGTAGTGTCACTCCTCCAACTTTGTTCTTCTTCTTCAGTACTGTGTTGACCTCTCTGGATCTTTCGTGTCTTCATATAAACTTGAATCATTTTTTTTATATCCTGAAAATAACTTGCTAGGGTTTTGATAGGGATTTCATCTGTATATCTACTTGGGAAGAACTGACATCTTGATCATATTGAATTTTCCTATCCATGAACATGGAACTTATGTCCATTATTTAGTTCTTTGATTTAGATCATCAGAGTTTCAGTTTCCTCCTATAGATCTTGTACATATGTTGTTAGATTTATACCTAAGTATTTCATATTTTGGGGTGCTACAAAAAATTGTGTTTTTAATTTGAAATTCTACTTGTTCATTGCTGATATATAGGAAATAATATTTGAAGGTTTTTGCCTATATGTTCATGAGAGATATTGGTCTGTAGTTTTCTTATCCTGTATTTCCACAGGATCTGTAGTGATGTTTCCTTTTTCAGTTCTCATATTAGTAATTTATCCCCTCCCCCCTTGCACTCAGGTCCAATACTTGAATGAGTTGTTTTGACATAGAATCCTAATTGGTGTATTGGTATGGACTGAATGTTTGTATCTCCCCAGAGCGCATATGTTGAAGCCCTAACCCGCAATGTGACTGTATTTGGAGATTGGGCCTTTCTGGAGGTAATTAAGGTTAAATGTGGTCATAAGGGTTGAGCCCTGATCTATTAAGATTAGCATCTATATAAGAAGAGACACCAGAAAGCTTGCTTGCATCTACCATGTAAGGACCCAGTGAGAACGTAGTCATTTGGAATCCAGAAAGAGAGCTCTCATCAGAAACCAACCATGCTGCCATCTTGTTCTCAGACTTCCAGACTCCAGAGCTGTGAGAAAATAAATTTCTGTTGTTTAAGCCATCCAGTGTGTGGTATTTTGTTATGGCAGCTCACGTACAATAATACAGGTACCAATATCCATCACTCCCCCTCTTTTTTAATGATAGAACCCAC